GCCTTTCGTCACTGAAAATCTGAAAAGGTAAATGGATTTCATGCTAGATTCAGAGTCGATTTCATTACTGCACACCTACTGAACACGAATCTTTTATTTTTTCAGCCCAATGCGCAGAGGTGGGCACAGGAATCTGCTTTGAAAAACACTCGTACTTCATGTTCAATAGCAACGGCATGGGACCCAATCTGCTCACGCTGTTCGTCAACGGCGTGATCTTCCTGTCAGTCCTCGTGTTATTGGAAAGCAAGGCTGCCAAAGTATTGAAGTAAGTCCTATCTGTATTTCTAAATCTTTTATATTGGTCCTTTAGGGGGATATGTAGAAATATAGTTAATGGAATTACACTTATTCAGTACAGAATTCAGTGATTGTATTTTCTTATCAATGACGTCACTAATGTTAATGTTGTGTACAGGAGCGCTTGGTGGCGACTGGTGGCTCGTTGCTCGCATGGCAAAGGTAGTAAGACAACCCCCGCTTGGGAGTTAACACAGGACAACGACGTTGCTGCGGAGGCTGACTTAGTGCGAAATGTGTATGAGTCGCGTCAAGCCGGGGGTAAGAAAATGCAAGATCGAGATGTGAAATAGGCCTACACACTGTGAACTTGGATTCTCAATTAGAAGTTCCAACAAAAAGAAAAAAAATTACGTAGCTTTAGGACTTGCTAATGAGACTCCTCGGTCTAATGGATATACGTTGCTCTTCAGGTGGGTTGGATGACTCTGCCCTGCTCGTCTCCAGCTTGAGGAAGCAGTTCCTGGGAGCCCCTCGGCCGGCAGTCAGTGGCGTGAGCTTCCGCGTGGCCAGAGGGGAATGCCTTGGCCTCCTGGGGGTCAACGGAGCAGGCAAGACGACGACCTTCAGGATGTTGACCGGGGATGAGGAACCCTCTTCAGGAGACGCCATGATAGATAACATATCACTTCACAGGGATAAGAACAAGGTGCATTTTCTTTCTTTCTTTGTGCAAATTGCTGTCGTTTGATACATGTTTGAACAGCTGAATTTAACTTAATAATACAATTCACTACACCAGTGAGTATTAAAGTTGGTAGTTTGACGTTAATGTTGTTCACTTAATTTCCTACTGCCACTTGATGAGCTTCATATGCAACTAAATCTGTATATACACATAAAACCGCATAGCCTAATTCAGTCTTCAAGTGCTTTTCTTTCTCTCTTCTCTTTGTTTACATGTCACACTGACCCAAAGAGCATTTCATTCCATAAGTTGTTTAACAATAGTTATTACTTCATTCACAGTTTGTGCAACAAATAGGCTACTGCCCTCAATTCGACGCTGTTCTTGGCGAGTTGACTGCCATAGAGATGCTGACGCTTGTGGGCAGGCTAAGAGGAGTCAGCGACGCACGGATGAAGCGCCTGGTTAACGAGTTGGTGACTCTGGTTGGCCTCACGGAATGTGCGCAGCGCCCTTCTTCAACATATTCGGGAGGAAACCGTAGGAAGCTCTCCACTGCCATGGCGCTAGTTGGGTCCCCGCAGCTGGTGTTCCTTGACGAGCCGACCTCGGGCGTCGACCCAGCATCTCGTCGTCGAGTGTGGACTGCCGTCACGAAAGCAATCAACAACGGCCAGAGCGTGGTCCTCACCAGTCATTCCATGGAGGAGTGTGAGGCGCTATGTTCCCGTATCATTATCATGTCTCGTGGAACCCTCCGTTGTGTAGGAACCACGAGCCACTTGAAGGCTAAATTTGGCCAAGGTTACAGTGTCCAAATAAAACTGAGAACCCATGGCTTATGTCCCAAGGGCGCTACAAACATTGAAGATGTCTACACATCAAAGGTGCAGCAAGTAAAGAGTTCCATCAGTTACTATCTTCCTGGAGCCGTGATTATTGATCAACATAAGGTAAGGAATCAGAGCTAAAGAAGGGCTTATCAATCTTAAAGTTGGAAATGCACAAATATGGATTTCCATGAACATCATATAAATAGTTTGAAGGGTCTTCATTGCGACAACTGTAGGAGAATGTGTGAATGCAAATGAATATTTCCTCCGCTGTGAAGATATCATTCTCGTTCGTACCATTTTCTACATGCACATTCGTCCGATTATGTATGCTAACATCTCTATCAATTAAAATTTTGTGACTTCCTTCCAGGGCATGTTGTCGTATAGGATCCCAAGTAGAATATCGTGGGGGCGGCTCTTCTCCGTGATGGAGGCGCTGAAGAACGGCAGACAACCCAGCGACCGAGACACTGACGACGTCGCCAGCCCAGTCGCAAACCCACAGGAATCTATCGTAGAGGACTATGCGGCCTCAGACACCTCGTTGGAGCAGGTGTTCTTGACTTTTGCCAGAGAAGCTTCGGGTGAAAGCCAGAATAAAAATATCCCTCAGGAAGTCGTCACGAAATTGTGAAGTCATGTCTAACTTTGTCATATGCCCGTGTTCTGCTGATTGGCGGAATGATCGTGAATGTGTACAATGAATGTTATCTTAAGGTATTCTTAAATGTTGTTATTAAAGATAGTGACTTCTACAGCTTCTAGAAGATACGTCATTTTAGGACCTTCAGCTCCATTATATATATATAGATAGATAGTTAGATAGATATAGATATGTGTGTGTGAGAGAGAGAGAGAAAGAGAGAGACAAACCCTGGTCATCAGGTTCATAGCTGGAGTGGCCTAAGTTCGAGACCTGGTCAGGGAGGGTTGTTATTTATCCATATCAATGCATCATTGCATTACTCAATCTTTCATATGTTTATCAAACTTCCATGATTACCTCGTATCATAACCAAAATATAAAAGGCAATGCTCATTCTCATTTTGAAGCATGGAAATACAAAGACATTTACCTTCATTTCATAATCCTTATAGATGTTTGTCGAGTGAATCGTCCTTGTTACTATTTATTTAGAACACGTCAAAGAGAATTTACATTAGAGCAGCGGTTTTCAAAGTTTTTGGCATAGCTACCCCTTGGCACGGTTGCCATCACCCCGACTCCATTCCTCCTATTTAGTCATCATTCCTTTGACAAAAAATAATATTGTTTCTTTATCATAAATTTGAATTAATGCATCATTGCTTTTGGTAATAGAATATAAACATTATTTATTGAATTATTAACTGAAAACCCAGTATTGTTTGTCCTTCAGTAAAATATGAACGCAATGGTCTGTAAAGCACAAGACATATATTCCTCTTCCAGTCTGGCCCAAAAAGGATTCAGTTTTTCAATCTGATGATGTTTATCCACTTCGGGAGTCTTATCCTCTTTAAATGCAAGAAAATCGGACTTTGCTGCTATGACACTGTCCTTGTTTATTAGTATTATTATTCATTCATTATCATTTATTTATGAATGTACTTCTTCAGTCGTTAATTCATTCATGATTATCATTTATGAATCTACTCCAAATACCTTTTACTTTTAGAAAGTGCCTCGTTGCCCCCAGAATCGGCTTCATTACCCTAGTATTCGAGTGTAAGAGTTCCCTGTAGAAAATCCAGATATAAATTAATGTGAAAGAAAATGTTCGTTTTTTTAATAATAGAGTAAGACGATGTGAAAGAAAGTGCTCGTTTTATGATAATAGAGAAAGGCAACGTGAAAGAAAGTGCTCGTTTTATGACGTTGAGGATTTTTTTTTTTTTTTTTGAGAGGGAGATATCCCAGTTGTGAAAATTAAGCATATTCATAGTGCATTGTTTCACCTTAAAACCGAGAGTATATATTGATGTAACCAAAGTTCAATAGATAAATAAATAAACATGTCTTTTTTTAAAGGTAGTTGTTTCATTTACATTCCCAACGAGGTAATACGAAAGACATTTTTTTAATTTTCCTTTCTTTATCAGGGATAAAAGAAATACATATTCATACAACGCTTAACACTTTAAGAATAACATCTTTGCTCTCACTAGTAGAAATTCAATAAATATGCAATGCTAATACATAATATATACATATCATTAAAATGCATGTATCATCATCACATTCATATCATTCTCCGTATTCCTACACTCTATAGCGTGTGAAAAAAAAACTATTTAATAGGATAATGGTTACGTTTACTCTTAACCGTTATATACAGCATGTAGAACATATGTATAACCTGTTTCTAAACGTTATATTTGAGTAGAGTATGATTATAAGCCTTACGTATAACTTGAAACATGAATTTATATATTTTCATGTATTTCTATAACATATGGAATAAATTATATACATTTTTCGCAGAGTTGAAAAAAGCATGACACATTCATAAATATATATGTATATCAGATTCTACATATTCATAAATATGTATCAAATTCTACATATTCATAAATATATATAAAATTCTACATATTCATTAATATATATCAAAGTCAATGGTAACGCAGGCATTTTTATCTAGATATATGTATATAGATTCCACACATGAAATAAATAATGCATAAAGTGAAGTAATGCATATTGATCCCCCCAAAATAAATCTATTTGCAACATGTATGTAAAACGAATGTACGTATAGTCACTGCTTATTTATTCAATTGTACTGTGTCCAGAAAAAAAATTGTATAAGGAATAATACCAAAATCACATTATACAAAGTTATATATTGATCAAAAAATTTTATCTGTTTCTTAGTTTGAATAATATCAAATGAATGCAGAATTACTACTCATACTTATTACTAAGTATCTATGAATGTAATGCCAGATGCCTCAAGTAGGTATAGACTACACAACTTTATAAATTATAATTCCTTCTAAAAACAGATCTGAGGATTCGGAATCCCTTCAATGCGTCTCTTTTCACATACCATACCGACAACAGGGTATGATATGATATACTGAAGGGAAATACCATGGCCACAACAGGGAATGGTGTACATTTCCCTTCAACGCGTCTATTTTCCTTCTTAAAATAGATTTGGCGATTCGGAGTCCTCCAGAAATCGGAGTGAGTTGCCATTTCTTCTGTTAATGATGTTGGACTGAGTACAGTTGGCAATATCCAGACGAAT